GGAGGATATCGAGCGCATGTACATGTGCAATCATCCCCTCCCAGGCGGCGGCAACTGCCAAAAGGCATATGGCACACTGAATCATCTCAATGCCCATGTTCAGATGCAACATCACGGACCAAAGAGAACCCCTGAAGGTATGTCCGGCCTCTCGCCCCCCGTCGCTTCGGACCGTCCGCAATAGATTCTAACCCTTCGCCGCGCAGAGTTTAAGGAGATCCGGAAGGAATGGAAGGCTCGCAAGAAGGAGGAAGAGAACAAGCGCAAGCAGGCGGAGGAGCAGCAACGTCAAGCCCAAGCTGCGGCTCAACCCCGTCCCGAGCCCGAGCCCACCCAGGTTTCGGCCCCGTATCCTCGAAGTCAACTGCCCCTCCCTCCGCTGGGCTACCAATCCCAGCCATATCCGACCCCAACGTCGATGCCCGACTATGGCGGCAATAATGCTTACCCGCCCTACCCGTACGCCCAGGGCCCCCAGGGCGGTCAGGCGGGCCCGTCCAGCCACCCCCTGTATCCTCCGCGTGAGTGACAACTGAGTCCTGGCCTCATGGCACCTGCCGTTGCCGAAACTAACTTGCCACAGCCAACGGCGGTCAACAAAACTAGTCCTCGGAAAGAGGATTCGAACCGAAATCACATGGGTGCTCCTTGAAACGATTGTGCGGGGTGTACTAGCACGCCAGATCGACGACGACGACCAAACGAAATTCCGAGGGCGGGAATGGGTTCATGAAGCGAAAACGGGACTTGGTGGCGGCGGCGGCGGCGGCGGCGGCGGCAGGGTCTTTTTTTCCAGTCATGGCTTTCGCATACAACAGCATAGCAAGGGGCGGGGACGAAATTTGGGGGTTTTGCATTTGGTGGAAGGTTGGGGCAAGCATGATGATTCCCAGGCTCGCCCTCGACGTCACACGGGCAGAGTGTGCCCGGCTGCCCGTGTGCTCGGGGTGGGCAGCGTGTGTCTTTTTTCTTTTCTTTTTGGTTTATACTATGCATGCGCCGGATCCTAGTTCTTCCTGCCTGATACCCGGCCGAAGCGGGAGGTAGTTTTGGACCGGCGCGTTTCTTGGCTTTGGGGGAGAAGGGGGATATGAGCAACATTGTGGACTTTATGTTTGGCGGTGGGTAGCATTGTTTGGAAGTATACAAAGTACAGCGAGTGAGGGCACACTAGTGGTAGTAATAATATATGTGAAATATCTGATCCTGTCGGGGTTGGTGGTGGAGAGGAAGTAATGGAGTCGTTTATCTGGTCTGAGACGGGCCATATGGCGAGCGAGTGGGAACCGGATGAACTTGTGGGCAAGGGTATCTCGAGAGGAGCTATTATGTTCTGTTGTGGGTGGGATGAAACAAGGTACTAGACAGAAGTGTGTCGTTTTTTCTTGCGGTCGGATATGCATGTTTGGTACGTGCTCTCTCTCTCGTTGGTGTGTTTTGTGCTTAAATACTTAGTTGGGGGAGGGGTGGTTGAGGTCGAGTTGAGTTAGGTCAAGTACTGCCGGACTACAGGTGGGAGTGTGATCTCGGCTCTTTCGCTATGTGATGATTTGGCACAATGCCTTGACTGGTAAGTTAGTATCACGATCACTGGGTCGACGACCTGTAGTGGTGTTTATCGGCTCCCTAAAACACCCGGACAGGTAGTAGGCAGGTTAGATGGCTTAGAGGAACGGTTCGGCTTTTTGTGCATTACATCCCTCCATTGGATATACTGCGACACAATTCACTCTGGCGGTCGCCATTGGTGGCGCACCTCGAGCCTTTGCCATTCTGCTCTCCTCAGATATTTCTAATGCGTATGTAATGTATCATCAATATATGCAGTGGCGGGAACCATCTCGCCTCCGCCCCCTCATGTCTTCTGAAAGTAGGTAAGGTAGTATTTGGGTAGTCAGGGGCATCGTCATATCATATCCACGCGCGCGATGTGTGTGTGGCTGACTGTTTCGCTTCGCATGCTGACACTCTGCTCTGATTCCCTTTGGGCAGGCAGATGGTGTGGTTACACAAGACTAGAGCACACCCCCGTGCAGAACCCGTCGGCTAGGGAAGAGTCGTGGAAGGAAAAAATGGGGGAGAGGGGGGGGGTTGTATATTGCCGGGCTTTTTCCGTCGCACGGTACAGGTGGCACAGGGAAGGGGAGGGGGGGGGGGGTATGGGTAGGAATGAATGGGGGGGTTGGCACACTGCTAGGGAAGCATCGTCTTGTGGACGAGTGGGCGATATTCCTCCGAGGTGTCGCGGGCGGAGGGATTGGAGTCGTACGACGGCGATTGTGGACTGGAGTTGTGCATGGGTGTCTCGAGAGGGGAGTTGGATAAGGTTTGTCGACGCCGAGTGAATGGTTTGTTGACTTCTTTTCTTTGGTGTTTTAGGAGGAGGTGAGGGTGTGTTGTGTTTGTTTGGGTGCGGTTTCTTTCGCCCTTTTGGTATCTTGCTCGCAGTTTCATTCGACACATCTGTCCTTGGGCGACTGACAGCGTCGCTGGACTCGGCCAGCACAATATACACACCATGGAATCTCGGATTCGATGACGTTGTACCGCTGCGGTGCGATGCGATGGGTGGCAGCACCGAGGGCAGACGGACGGGTGCTCGCGACGTCCCTCGAGGGGACGGGAACAAGGTCGTTTGGAATACGAGCCTATGCTTTGGGACACTACCTTGCGGTCCGCTGCACGGCATGAGCACCACCACGAGGTCCCGATATTGGGGCGGTGTCTGCCGAGACCTGGCCAAGTCGAGCCATGGTTGTTGACGTTGGTCTTGTTGTGTTAGTATTTTTTTTCGGCCGAGAGGAAGAGCAGCATCTTTTGTCGGCAATGTCGGCTGTGCAGCACCTTGAAGCATGCTCCATCCCATCTCGGGGGAGGGTGGGCTTTGCCATGTCGGCATGCCGTCATGTACCTCGGTGTACACGATCTTCCCCGCGTCCCGCTATATATATACAAGGCCAATATCCCGAAACGAGGATGGAGGATGGATCCATCGACCGACATGAAGCTAAGGTGGAACACGCAGACGGCCCACGAGGTCGCGACGGGATGGACGGGTTGGTCGCAGTCAGCGATCGCCTGTGCCGCAGGGCGGCTAGGGCAGCGCCAAGTCGGCAGCGGTTGGCGAAGACGGGAGGTCGGGTCGAGGGTCGCTGGCTTCCGCGCAGCGGGCAGGACTGTGTACACCTAGGCAGTGGTGAGCCCAGGGAGAGGACGGCAAACCTGGTGAAGTTGGGATACGAGCCGACCAGGCCGTGTTCGGGCAGACGCGGCGCGGGCCGAGTGCGTGCTCAGGTTCTACCCGACGTGGCACCCACAGCACGCCCCCAGCAACAAGAAATGGACAAACTAGAGCGAACATGGAAACGCAGTGTTGTCAGGGCTAGGTTGGCGATCCCGGCAATTTATACGGGGCCGGGGCCGGGTGCTTGCCTGGGGACGGGAGGGAGGGGGCATGGAAGCTTCCTTTCTGATGGTTGCGTCGCACAAGCCTAACGCAGACAGGCCAAGGGCCGCAAGATGGTGGTTTCTCCCCAAGGTGCCAAGGGGGGCGTGTAGGGAAGGAGTGTTTGTCTTAATTAGGGGATCTGGAATTGGATGCGGGATTCCCGTCACCATCCTGGACCTGGACCTGGACGCCGACAAAGCCGCTAAATTCGAGGCGCAAAGGGGCGGGGCTAGCGCCGTGTGCTCCGGAGCTCCGGGTACTCGATCCCCGGCCGTCTTTATCTTGACGTCGACCCATCCCTATGTGTTCTCCCGAATGGCGATCGGCGAGTCATTCGATGCAAGATGGCGGTCCCACCTCGTTGGTTTCGTCAACAGGTCCAAAATCCGACGTTGGCGATTTTGGTTTTTAGCGCTCCCACGCGCTCCTACAGCATCAGTGACACGGATTCACACAGCCGCCGTATATGCGCATGGCCATGCAGCATCAGGAATTTGGGAGTATTGTCCCTATCCGAGACAATATCGAGCTCGCCCGAGCAACTCGTGTCTCGGGTTCAGTCTCGGGAGTATAACTCTACGTCGCATCCGGATATACGAACTCCAGCCCCAAATAAGCCCTTCGTGGGCTCTGATGTTATATACGGCCGCTGCAGACGCTGCACATGTGTCCGTCCCGGAGGCACATATCGCCTTTCTGCATGGGAGTGATCAACTGTACGAAAGGTTGGGGATATGCAAAGATGACGGGTTGTCAAAAGTCCACAGACAAGAAAGATTCCTCTGGATGCCAGCATTGATGATCGTTCCCTTCGCAAACTCAATTATGTCGCAGAAATCGTCACCCCGCATGGCCCTGGATTTACTCGCACCATGGCACGGAAAGGAAGGAGCCATTGACATTCCTCCGGGGGGGGGGGGTCGAAAGCAAAGCCCTTGACCAAGGGGTCAAGTCTGCCCAGGCGGAAGAGGTCTGAATTCCACGCCATCCCCAAAAAAAGCTTCGGTCTATACATTATCGGCAATTTCCCCTTGACAACACACTACCACCCGGGCATACCCGCCTGCCCTCTAGCCTCGGATCCGTGTCGAGAGAGAGATCGACCCCACCCCCGCGGTGGAAAGACCCTGCAGTTGTGTTCCCCCTGGTGGTGACAGTCTCAAGAACATGACCTCTGCGCCTCAACAAAGCCCATATCGGGGAGGTTAGACAGGCGGTCTTGGGAGAAGGAGGGGTAAACTTGAGGTCGACCTGGCCGGAGAAGGTGACGAGAATTAGGACAACTATACGGTATCGCATGTACTGGCAATGTCTTCAGAAGCCAAGGCTACGACGAAGAGGTGATGAGGCGGGCCGGTGGTGGTGGAGGCGGGTGTATGTTGGGCTCGAGGGATTGCGAGGGAGAGACTTTGTGCTGTGCGCCGGGGACTTGATGGATGCCGGCAAGGCTTGTACTGTCCCGCCGTGGATGTTGCGCCCATCACCACCTCCCTCTTTCAAAGAAAGAGATAGAAGAAGCCAAGTTGCTGTAGGGTTCTGTAAATATTCAACTTGACAACTGTGAGGATTCGAACTCACGCACTTTCGGACCACGGAACTACTTATCAAGACCTGATAGACCAAGATGATTGCGATTAAGGGTATCCTTAACGTGGCGCCTTAGACCGCTCGGCCAAGTTGCCATAGGTGCTGATTGTGGTGTACCTACAGCGGAGAGTGGTTTATCTCGGCTTGGATCTCAACGAGTCATGGATGTTTTCTTTTCGTGGAGTGGTGCTTCCGAGTCATAGTGGTTCTGGGGAGACTATGCGAGCCTCCCCGTTCTACGGTGGAGTTGGACATCAAATACACCATGTGTAAGCGCGCCTTGATGACTTGTGATACGGCAACGTCTGTGTAAGTTGAGGGACTCGGAGCAGCTGACATGAGTTGGGCCGGTCTGTGGAACGATTTGTTGGCCTCGAGCGCGAAGTTCTCCGTTTCCATAGGCCTCCCTGCCTCCTTCAGTTTCGAGACTTGCTAGGTAGAGAACAATCCCGTAGGATGGGGGTGGTATAGACCAGACGGTAAGGGGTCGCATCAATCGCTGCTATGTCAAGGCCGGTAGAGATTCGCCCTTGTGCGCCCTCAAGGCACCCGGTGATACTTGGTACCGTCCATATAGCGTCCATGAAAAGAGAGAAAACCAAGAGGCAGCTTGCCCCTGAGACCCAAACCGGAAAAATGTAGACGAAGAGGTTGCGGGAGCAACTAGCACAAAAACGCGGCATCGCGTCCATTTCTTATCTTATCGCCCCGCACCATGCTCCCAGGTGACGCAGCCGGAACCTCCCCCCTCCCTAATCCTCTCCCCTCCCTAAACAACCACCAACTCCAGGACCACATCCCAACACCCACAACCACCTCACTCCCCGAAGCGAACACTACAGAAAAAAATAGGCGAAACCCCCCCACCAGGAACCATGTCCCGCAAACCCCCCGGCCTCGCCTCCCTCACGCGTCACCGGCTCACCTCGGCCCAGTTCTCCTCCCACGGCTCCGCCCTCCGCTCGACCAACGCGCAGGCGTTCGAGACGCAGCTCGCCGTCTTCCGCTCGCTGCTGCAGCAGTTCGCGCAGACGCACGCCAAGGACATCCGCTCCAACCCGAGCTTTCGCGCGCAGTTTGCGCGCATGTGCGCGGCCATCGGCGTGGACCCGCTGCTCGCGTCGTCGGCCAAGGACGGCGGCGGCGGCTCAGTGTGGTCGCAGTTGCTGGGCGGGACGGTCAACGACTTTTACTTTGAGCTGGCGGTGCGGGTGGTGGAGGTGTGCGGGCGGACGCGGGGGGAGAACGGGGGGCTGATTGAGGTGAGGAAGGTGAGGGAGGGGCTGGTGGCGGCGGGGAAGGGGGTTGGGGGGGAGGTTACTGAGTATGTTTCTTCACATTCTTCTCCGGCTGGGGTTTGTTGGTGTGCGTGTGCGTGCTGCTGACGGGACGGTTAGGGACGACATTCTCCGCGCCGTGGCAACGCTCAAGCCGCTCGGGTCAGCTTACTCGGTCATCCGCGTCGGGAGCAAGCCGTACATTCGCTCGGTGCCCAAGGAGCTCAACACGGACCAGAGCGCCGTGCTCGAGGCGGTGCAGGTGCTGGGGTACGTGAGCGTGTCGATGCTCATGGTCAATCTGCGGTGGGCGCGAGCGAGGGCGCAGACGGCCGTGGAGGATCTGCTAGGCGAGGGGATGCTGTGGGTTGATCGACAGAGTGAAGAGGCGGAATTCTGGAGCCCGGGGTTCATGCTGGAGAGCGAGGAGGGAGGGACGGGATGAGGGAAGAGATGGACAGCAGAAGCACCGCATCTCGAAGGGGATTATTACGCCACATTTGGAACCTTGGTTCAGCATTCCTGGACTGGTCAGAGACACTGGCACGATGGACGTCTCCCGAAGCAGCTTTACGAAGCAGCGCGGAGCGAGCTCGGGCCGAGTTGGATTCGAGGTTGGAGCTCCGGACGAGACCGCAGGGAACATGGCCACCCGGCTCAGGTACACTAAAGGAGCGTCCGAATGCGGAATTACGGCCTCAACACTGGGAGAGCTGCGGCTCAGCCCGGATTCAGAGCAAGAGCCACACAGGCCAACATCACGGAGCAGTTACACACACACGGTCCTGGCCAGCCCACTACGCATCTGTATGGTAGCCAAAAAACAATTATCTAACAGCCAACAAAACAAGAGATTATACATGACGGAAATCGCACAAGACCCCGCCTCGATACCTCCCACACTTTGTCACTTGCCACCCAGCCAGCTATTTGTACCCTTTTCCCGACGGAGCCGGCCTCCTCCTCGGATTCACATATTCAGATCCCGTGTGTGTCAGGGTTGGATTGATCATCAGCGTCGTATCCCCCTCGGCCGGTAGTCGCCTAGTATGGGGGGTTGGGCCCGAGAGGCGGGTAGTCTTCGGGGCGGCCCATGGTGCTGCCGCCGGTGGGGCGTCCACCGTCGCCAAAGTGCTTCTTGCGAAGGGCCGCGAGGCGCTTCTTCTTGGTGATGGTGTTGATGTAGGTGCCGATGACAAACGACACGAGGTTGAAGAAGGGCAGCCAGGTGTGCTCGGGGAGGAACTTTTGCGCAAAGGCAAGGCAGAGCGGCGACGTGATCCAGCTGACGCGCATCACCTTCCAGAAGCCGACGCGGACCGTGGCGCGCACCTGGTGAAACGTCCGGGCGCCGGCGATGATGGCCATGGCGACGAGGTACACCGAGTTTTGGATGGGCGCGATCTGGGCGGGGGTTAGCTGGGACGGGCAGAGGCAGAGGGGGGGGGGGGGTGAGGCGTACAATCAGGTTGCTGACGAGAATCTGCAGAATCTTGGACCGCAGACTGGTGCGGTCCTTGAACGTCTTTTGCAGGGCCCAGATGAGGCAGTGGCCGAGCGGGGCGCTGACGAGGGCGCCGTACGTCGCCATCTTGGGCACGCGCGACGTAAAGTAGTTGCCGTGCTTGTTGCGGTCCTTGGCCAGCCACGAGGCGATCAGCTCCTGAGCACCGGCGAGGGTGCCGGCCGTGAGCATCTTGGTCCGCAGCGGGTTGTCCTCGAGCTGCTTGATGTACGCCTGAACCGAATTAGCCTTTGACACGTCCGGAGAGGGGGAGAACATACCGCCAGGTAGCCCTTGGTGCCGGCATTTTGTCGGCCGCCCGTGAGGGCAGTGCCGACGACGGCGGAAATGGGATGGTCTCCCTTGGTGCCGGGCAGGTTCCCGGAGGCGGCCTCGGAGATGGCGGCGGCGGTTGCGGCGACCTTGCTGCCGTGATGCTTATCCGCAGCCTTTTGGGCGCCCTGGGTCACGGCCGTCTGGAACGTGTCCCGCTCGATCTTTAGCGACGACATGGTGGGCGACGGCGGCGATCAAATCGACATTTAGGGGCGGTGCAATCTGTTGGTCTTGATCAGCGTCTGTCGGGAATCGGTTGGGTTTGACAGCGGGCGCGGGCGCGGATTCGGTCGGTGGATGGCGGATGGCGATGCGATGGGGTCGCTTGTTGTTTACAGCTGTCGTCGGCGGGTCTCGACTTTCGAATGCGCAGGCGAGGTCGATCTCAGCGGCAAAACGCGTCGACGGTATCGCGCATCGGGCGTCAATTCACACAAGCACGGCGAGAGAGGTACTCACCAGCAGGACAAAACGGTAACAGCACAAAATGCGAGTCGGGCAGCGGCGATACGTCGTCGAGGGGATCGTTTCGGCTGGGCGTCGTTCGTTCGGGGGGGGGGTTCGGGGGGCGAGGATGGCGGATGGCGAGGAGGTTGGTTTTTGATGGGGGTGAGAGACAGGTCGACCAATGCAGCACCCTCATCTTGCGTCGCGACTGGCGACGGGCGAGGGGACTGGGGGGGCCGGCGAAGCTGAGGCCACCCCCGGTGGAGACCCGAAAATGGGACCTGGCGCGGAAACGACGTATGATTGGTCGCTTTTCCAGCTGGCCGAGGCTTTTGTTTTCCCTCGCCTCCTTGCACCTCCAGCTTCGGTACGACGGGACTCTGTGCCTGTGCTCGATGCTGCCCGGAGACGGATGCGACAACACACCAGTGCAGGCGACGTCTTCTTTCGTCCACCCACCATCCCTGTTCATCGTCGTCTTCCCGACTGCACCTCACAACCACTCGTCCACCCACGATGACAGCCACGCCATTGGCCTGCAAATGTGCCTTTGACTGCTGGGTAACCTCTGAAAATGCCATTTATCAACGTAAGGCAGCAAGCAGATCGACGTCTGCGAATATTCCAGCATGCTGGCTGCATCTTTTGCCAAGCCTCACTCCCGCGACCCGGTAGAGCCTCACCATGTAAACACCAAGGAGTCGACGGCGATGACGATGAGCAGTGTGTGAGCTAAACGTCATCCTCGGTATAAAACGCACCACTTGAATTGGCCATGTGCCTAGCTAAGCCCCAATACCGTCATCACAAGGGCGCTTCTAGTCTCTTTTTGTCCACGCGCCTCATACCCGTTTGATGGGAGCTCGGTGGGAGCTCGATAGGTGCTAAGATATCCAGGCGTACCGACATGATGTCGCCTACTTAGTCTTTGTATTTTTGCTGGCCGGCGTGCCGCCAGGTGTTTCCAGTTGCTTCAAATGGCTGCTGTCCGGTGTTTGACGGCCCTTGGAGTTTGCGGGCCAGTTGCTGTTCGACTGCGCTCCTTCCTTCCTTCGCCCAGACCAAACAAACACCACGCACATCGAGGACACCCTTTTTTTTCCCCCCTCCCCCATTTCTCCGCCCGGGGCCTTTGGAATTCCACTGCAACTATTTCTACGTATACCCCCGAGGACCGAACCGTCACCATCCTCCCCCACTGACCGGCCCCCAACCACCGCCTCTGCGCATCACGATGGACACCACCACGAGCTCCGACGAAACAGCCGCCCGGACTCGGGGTGTTGTTTCAGAGACAATCCCAGAGACGGACGAAGAGAGAGTCGCTGGAAAGGACACCGAGGACGCCGAGGATCAGAGCTGGCGCCACTCGCTTTCGCAGTTGCCTCCCTTTGCCTTCTACCACCCGTCTTATGTCGGCCCGCACTTTTACCGTGAGTGGAAGCCAAAGTAAGCTGCTCCGCAAGAATCACCTACTTTCATTCCCTGACCTGTTTAGATGCAACCATTACACCATGACGCGCCTCTATCA